GAGGGAGAGAGATGGATTGTGAACCAACTACCCCTCTCGGTCGGGCTATTTGGGCGCCTGTGCCGTCCAGGGTAGCGCGCACAACGTGAACTGAACGAGAACTGGGGAAACGTGTGAGGGCAGGAGAGAAGCCCGGGAGGCCCCGCGCAACTGACTGGCTCGGGATGTTGCGAGCTGGGCCGAAAAGCCGCGAAGATCTGCGAATTCGATACAGGGGGATGGGGTCAGTGAGAAAATTATGCGGATTTCGGGGGCAATTGGGGAGGATGTACTTGGCGTAGGTTTTGGGTTGGATGGTGGTGGAGGTGGAGGTGAAGAATTGAATTGTTATTACATTAATTTTTGGAATGGTAATTGGGTTTTTAGATTTGCAGAAGCGATTCTCGAAAATTCCGGAGGCCAAGGTAAACGTGCGCAAAGTACACGTTCGAACGTTTGAGGTCATGGTTTGGGGAAAATAAACGGGTACTTGCGCATGTTCGACTTTGCCTTTGGAATTTTTGAATTATTGGTTGATTATTGGAATTTAAAACAGGGGGATGGGGTACGTGAGAAAATTATACGGATTTCGGGCCCGAGTAGAGAGGATTTGGTTCTGATTGGACGTACACAGGTCATTCAAGATCTCTCCAGACCTAGATTGATCCGGTAAGTCCTAATCAGTTCTGCGACGTACTTTTCCGGAGATCTTTCGAATTCACAGTTTTTTTCGGCCCTGAGAAGTCCTCTATACTACCGAGACCACGGGATTTGAGGAGGGGGTGGAGGGGAAAGCATGTACAACGAGGAGAGGGTTGCAGAATACTTTAGCCACCCTCATCTTTCCGTTTGCGGGCGTTAATTAAAGGAAAAATAGTGGACGTTGATTCTGTATGTACAGTCCATGAACTAAAGTTCATGAACAAAACACATAGGATGCAAGTGCAGGCTGTTCACGAACTTAAGTCCGCGACTGTATTGACCCCCTGATGCCAATGAAACTCGGTGACAGAAAAGACGAACAAAAATTTTTCATTTTCACGAGAATCAAGGATGAAAGTCGATTTTCGCCAAAATTTAATTCTTTCGCCAAGCGAAGGTTGATTCTGTATTTTCTAATAATTCTGATGCCAATGAAAGCCACGGAGGTGCCACAAATGTCGAAATGAAAAATTTTCTTTTAAATCCGGAGCCTACGGGTCAGATTGTCGGTTTTTCCAGCGAGAAAGTCGACTTTCGCAAAAATCTAATTTTTTCATCAAGTGAAGGCTGATTTTGTATTGTCTAACGATTGTGATGCCAATAAAACTCCCGGAGGCGCGAAAAATGTTGAAATAAAAATTTTTTTTTTCACCGGGGGCCAAACCTCCGGGGGGTGTCAGACTTTTGATTTTTTCAGGGGGAAAGTCGACTTTCGCCAAAATCGAATTTTTTAGCCGGATGAACGTTGATTCCAACTATTTAAGCGACGGGCTATTCAGAACTCTCAAAAATATGTGGAAAAAGTGAAAACTGAAAATAGTATATAATGCTACGAGGGAGTTTGCGATCACATTGTTGACGAGGGGGTTATGTAACCCTGAGTCAAAATGTCATCGCAAACTCCCGCGTTTGTCACACTCCCGAGTTTTTCACACAATAATTTTAGGAATAGAAGTTGATGAAATCATTCATGTAAACATTGAAAACTGTCAATTGGAATGTAAACTGAGACTATTCTAGTTGACCGTCAGATGGAGTCTGTAGTAGAAGTATCTAGATAATAAGAGATGGCGATAAAAATTCAAGTACATAATGCAGCAGATTAAGAACACAAATCGTGCTGAGATTTTTTTTATTAGTTCATTATTAAATGTAGAATATATTGCATTCAAAAGAGATTACGATATTATTGATTGTCATGTTTTGTAAGGAGCAATTTCATAGTATGAATGCATTATTATTAATATTATCAACAGTTAATATTCTCTTAGTTAATATTCTCTTCAGGAAGTTCTACACCCTTTCTGCCAAAATTCACGTTTTTTTAATTTTTCTGGCAAACTTATGATGGAATTGACGTGAAAAAATATAACGTTTTTGCGTTTTGTCATTATTTAATGACTGACGAAATTTTAAGGTGGTGCGAACATTTTCCTGCGTTTTCCCTAAACTTTTAAAAAGAATCACAAAACTGTAGAAAAAACGCATGAAAAGTATCGCACCACTACGCAACTTCGTGAGCCATTAAAGAATGACAAACCACAAAATCGTTATATTTTTTCACGTCACTCCCATCGATCATTTGCCAGAAAAATGAAAACAATGTCAATTTTGGCTAAAAGGGTGACGAACATCCTTCAGGGGCACTTGATCGGTAGAGTGTGCAGGACTCGAAGTACTGGGGATACATTGGTTGGCGATGCGGGGGAATACTTGACTCCTATTTTCCAGAGAATCTCCCACATAACCTTGAGCGATGGTAGCCGACTGCCAGCCCCCATGCTTTATTAAAATAGTAGTACTAGTACCCGAATCAGCCAGCAATGTTGACGAAGTTCTTCTAAATGCGTGACCTGTATATCTTCGGATTTTATCAATTTGTAGAAATGTTGCAAATTCATTTTCATGAAAATTCCATTTTCATTTTCAATTCATTTTTATGGAATTTGACCCTTGTGACCCTTGGACCGACTTTCCCCCCGGAAAAATGCGAGATCCGACACTTTGGCCTCCGGTGAAAAAATTTTTTTTTCATTTTTCACTTTTTCCACATACTTTTGATAGTTCTGAATAGCCCGTCGCTTAAGTAATTGGAATCAACGTTCACCCGGCTAAAAAATTCGATTTTGGCGAAAAATCCAAGACTTGACACTTTGACCCTTGTGANTTTTCACTTTTTTCACATACTTTTGATAGTTCTGAATAGCCCGTCGCTTAAATAGTTGGAATCAACGTTCACCCGGCTAAAAAATTCGATTTTGGCGAAAAATCCAACATCTGACACTTTGACCCTTGCGACCCTTGTGACCCTCGGACCGACTTTCCCCTAAGAAAAATTCAAGATCCGACACTTTGGCCTCCGGTGAAAAAAAAATTTTTTCATTTTTCACTTTTTCCACATACTTTTGATA